ATCAATTTCAGATTGAAGAAGTTGGTAGAATTCTTCTATTTCATCTTCACTGGCTGTAGTGGTTGGTACATAAATTTGAATAATAGTGGTATTAACTGGGCTTCCCTGTAGGCGTATGGATATTATCCTATCACAGCATCGTACCTCATGACTGATCTGGATATGTTCTGGATATATTATATATGAAGATAAAACATTTGACCAACTATATTAGATATGAGCTGTACCTAGTTGTTCTGACACACATACAAATTCTACTTAAAAACAGATTTATAAAGGAAGCTTATTTGTAATACAGAGACTGACTATATACTTAATGTTGCTCATGAACCAGTGTTAGTCCATGAAATGTTCCCAGCCTTCAAATGTGTACACAAATTTATTACATGTTTAAAAGCTTTTATAGTAATATGGTACATTAATTTTATGCTTGATGATTTAATATAAAACTTGGGCTTATATTTCGCTTGTCTCATTTCATATTTGAATAATTTATTTTTACTGTAGCTTACAAAAGTATGTATGTAGTAAACTCTAAGTCCATTTCAGAGAGTTTGAAAACACTTAATGAAGTACTTTCAGATATTTAGAATTTGCTTGCAGTAAAAAACAGATAGTAACTAAAATGTAAACACTGTAGATCATGAATTTTGGATTATGGTCTACTCAGTTATCTGGCTAGGATGGCAGGAGTAAGAGTTCAGTGGTCACTGTTATATTTTTTTCACAAAATTCAATATTCATTTACTTCTCTATAACCCCTCCCCCTTCATTCTTCTGTTACTGCTGAAACCCATGAGTAAAATCTATAAATTTCAAGTTGTATACTAAAGTGTGATTAGTAGCTATAATTATGAGTACCATAAGACAGTCCCATATTCTGTACCCTTCATAAGATCTTAGATATCCCCTTCCTACAAATTTATAGTTAAGGAACTTTATAGTCAAGTGTACCCCGGTCTATAAGGTCCTTTGACTGCTTCTCTGAAATCTATAAATTGTTGTTGGAAAGTGCCCTCAAGTCAGTTCTGACTCAAAGAGAGCTTATCATGGGTTTGATCTGCTAACCTTTCAGTTAGCAATCCAGTTCTTACCATACAGTGCCACACCAAGACCCCCTGACGTCTACAGATTACCCACTAATATACACTCCCCATTTACAAATCAAAAACATCTCAAATAAATCTTAACTGCAAGACGCTAGCACCAATTCCCACTAAAATTTACAAGTAGGCAGAACTTCAGAATCAGAATGCATTCTGCAGGTTTGTTGTTTTTTTTAATAGTGGTTTCACCATTCCTATAACCTCTACAGAGTCCTAGTGTAGCACAGTAGGATAAAGCTGTGGACCACAAGGTAGGTTTGAACCACAAGGTCAGTGGTTCAAACCCATCAGCTGCTCCTCGGAAACCCTATGCAGAGCCATTATGAGGCAGAACCGACTTGATGGCACTTAACAACAATTACCTACCTGGAACTCCAGTTACTTAAACTACTTAAACCTAAGATAGATTTAATATGATAATTTGCAGACATAAAGTGCATAAACAGCGATTTCCATGTTTAGCCTACAAATCAGTAAGTCATTAAAAGTATTCCTTGTAGTTTCTAAGAGGAGCACACTTTCCTACTGGTTCTGTGTTCAATACAAAGTTTACAACTGAAAGAAAATACGCCAAGTCTCCCTACTCTAACAGAAATGGATCTGGAACATTACAAGGGGTTTCAAAATTTCATAGAAAAGTTCCATTATCTTTTAATTTAATTTTTCCATGAATTTTTTGAAACCTCCTTATATACTTATTCCTCAGACCAGATATCAGACCTAAGAAAAGCCCAAAGATTAGAATGGCATGAAAGGTTCAGGGATTTCCTAAAAAGACTGTCCAAGGAATTACTGGAGGAGTTAACAGGACAGACCCTATAAATCAGTCATGGGAGGATCACAACTATACTGGCGGCGGTGGTAGTGTTTATGTGCCATGGAGTCTGTTCCAATTAAAACTATGAAAGTTAAATTATTACTTTGTGTTTTCTCCCATTAGAAATTTCCATTCAAGAGGAAAAAAACTCTGATTTGCTGATTAAGTCAGTTTTGGCTGACAAACGCCATTCTCGAATGATGCTATTATGGCTACTTACGTAATTACATTGAGTGCAAGCTCAGCAGAGTGACATCTCTCCAACTTCTGTTTCAAAACAGCCACTTCTTCAGATCTGGGTGGTTCATATTTTTTTACTAAGTTTCTCATACCTATAAGGAGATTAAGGATTTAAACAGAATAATGAAACACCTTGCTCTCATAATAAAGGAGTACAATATTTTCCTAATTATTGTTATAAAAACAATAAAATGTTCTTGAAGTGATGTGGTTTTTCTTCCCAGGATTTGTATAATTCTACATTAAAACCCAATGAACACCGTACTTAATTACGGCTGTCTGATGTTCAGTCTCTATCATGTAGAATATAAACATAGCATGTTCTATTATCTAGTCAGTATTTTATGTAAATCCTAGCAGACCTTTTTGCTCAGTTTTAAAGCTTTTTAATTCACATATAATTTAGTGAATACACTTAGTTTTCTGTCACAACCCGTATTTATAACATATTTATCATGGTAAGTTAATGCGCCAGACTGCAAAGCTGATTGAACTGCAAGGTTGGTGTTCAAGTTCACCAGCTGCTCCTAGGAAACCCTATACTGGGTCACAATGGGTTGGAACCGACTCGACGGCACTTTACAACAACAAGCCCTACAGATTGGACCAAGCGTGTAATTCTTGCTTCAAAGGTAAGCATTAACATACAATAAAGGGAAAATCCTTTTAACAAAAGGCAAAACCTATACAAGATGTTTTTGTTGTAACGTACCATTAAATCAGTTCCAACTCATAGCAACCCTATATAGGGTTTCCAAGGAGCGACTAGTGAGTTTGAACTGTCAGACTTGCAGTTCAAACCAACCTTGTGACCCCCAGCACCAGGAAAACAAAACTATCTTCTTTAGATAAAAAACAACTCTTGGACGTCAGAAGAGCGGGGCTGAGTTGCTTCAGTTGCTGGGACTGCGGGTGAAGTTCTCTCCTTAGGCGAACAGTCTCAATGACCATTTGTCAATTCTTCCTTCAAGGCCGGTGCCAATTTGGACACCGGTGCTGGAATGAACATCCTGGAGCTCCGGGTGGAGGACGGCAGCAACCTCAGCAGCAGCCCGCAGTTGGTAACAGGCGCGGATGGAATGCCACTAGTGAGAGAAACTCCAGTGTGATACAGCCATCCAGGTTCTCCAGATCTGCTCCATATGGGGGCTTCAGAGACCAAGGGAAGCAATCAGTAGGTTCTTTCCAGGGTGGAGCTAGCAGAAGCAGCAGAGAATTAGCCTTGTCTCAGAGCTCATTTGCGTCACTTAACTCTGAAGAACAAAAGGATGAAAAGAAACTACTCGAAGAAATTGTAAAAAATATGGAGGTTTGTGAATCACCAGGGCAGTGGATGTTTTCTGTTTATTCACCAATGAAAGATAAACGTAATATTTCAAGCGTTTATTGCTCTGAAATTCCCAACAAAGACGTCAGAAATCTAGTATTAAGGTTTCTTGATGACATTAAGGTAAACATGGAAAAATTTTTGGAAGAATTCAGGAAAACAATACAAGAACAAAATGAGAAACTCAATAAAGAGATAGAAACATTAGGTATAAAACAAGCAGAAATTCCAGAGCTTAATAATAAAATAACAAAAATAAAATAATTCTGTGGAAGAACACAAAAGTAAAATAGAAGTCAGTAATATAGAAAACAAAATTCCTGCAATTACTCCACTTGAAGAACAAATAGAAAGAGAAAAGAAAATTGAAGAGAAAATAAAGGTTCTGCGGGACACCATTAAGAGGAACAATCTACGCATAATGGGAATTCCAGAAGAAGAGAGGAAACGAAGTCTAGAAGACATTTTTGAAGAAATAGTGGCAGAAAACTTCTCCAATATCATTAAAGATGAAGAGCTTGTCATCCAAGAAGCTCAACGAAGTCCATATAGGTTAAACCCGAAGAGAAAAACACCACAACATGTTATAATTTCACTTTCCAGAAACAAAGATAAAGAATCTTGAAGGCAGCACGAAATGAGCAAAATATCACCTACAAAGGGGCCCCAATAAGATTAAGTACTGATTTCTCCCCAGAAACAATGCAGACAAGAAGGGAATGGGGTGACATTTACAGAGTCTTGAAAGAAAAGAACTATCAACCAAGAATAATATATCCAGCAAAACGGTCATTCAAAAGCAAGAGTGAAATTGGACATTTCCAGATATAGAAAAATTAAGGGAATTTCTAACTACCAGACCAGCCCTACAGGAAATATTAAAGGGAGTCCTCCAGAAGGAAAACTAACTAGACCAGCCAACCACTCAAAGTATTGACACATAACAACGACCTGAATACATACAACAACAAAATAAACTTAAAATGTGATTACAGGGAATCCAAGATACAAAGTTGTAATTGATGGTAACATCAAAACAAGAAAGGGAATGACTGGTGTAGAAACAGAATTTTCACATGCCAAGGGAATTAAGGTGGCTTCAATAGACAACATTGTAAATGTAGGTGTTACATTTGTAAACTTCACTGTAACCGTAGAGTATATAACTCTACTCACCAAAGAAAAGGAGAAACCAAGACTCACTAAAATAAAAGGGGAAAATCTGTTTTTAAAAACTCAGCACTGATGATAAAAAGGAACAAAGAAGTCATCAACCTCATCAAGCCAAAAAATTTACGATCAAATGACTGAAGTAAATTCCTCTCTATTGTAATTATAGTGACTATAAATGGATTAAATGATCCAATTAAGAGCCATAGTGGCAGAATAGGTTTTAAAAGTGACCTATCTGTATGTTGACACATAGGCATCATAGGTTAAAATCAAAGAATGGGGAAACAATACCAAACAGTAATAAAAACAGATCAGGAGCGGCATTTAAAAAAAAAGTGGGGGGAGGATAAAATAATCAAGCAGCCTGAGCCCCAAAATATATAAAGAAAACACTTAGAATTAAAAGAAGTACATCTATACAAATGGTTGGAGATGGTAACATACTACTTCTTGGTGGATAGAACAACAACTAGAAAGAAAGTGAATGAAGAAACAGGATCTGAATAACATCAACAGACAAA